TTTTTTTTTGCAACCTTTTTGGCTTGCATTTAGGATTAAATTCCCTCAAATATAGAAGATAAAAAATAAAAAAAATTGTTGCCATTTTTTTCTATAAGTAAAATATTTATAGCATTCACATCAACTTTCAAAAAAATGTTCTTTCTTAATACAATTTTACAAATGCAGATAGGATGGTCTATGTATGATTAAGAACCTTTCTTTTTCTATAACCAAATGCTGCTTTCGTTCTGAGAACAATACCAATCTCTCCTAAATTTCACCAAACAATATATAGCATCCTCCAAAAAACTCCATTCTCTAAACTAAACCTTATAAAACCTTACAATCTCTAAACCTACTACTTGAATTCTGTCACTCTGCAGATATAGAAGCAAGGGAAGATCCCAAACTAATCAGAGAACTAACCTCGGAGCGCCTTCAAGGTTCCCCCAAAGACGTGATCGACATGATCACAAACTGCGAAACAGACACATTAACCCTCACACGCATCAGATACCGTGCGCCATGGCACATTCTATTCGGTAAAATGCAAAAAGGAACAACAACGCTTGCGGGGGACTCATTACATGTGATGGACCCTTCAATTGGCCAAGGAGGCTCTGCAGCCATAGAAGATGCGGTGGTCCTCGCTAGATGCTTGGGAAGAGAGCTCCAACCGCATCAAATAGCCGCATGCGGCTGCCGCGAACTGAAGAGGAAAGCTGAAGCCGCCATTAACAAGTATGTTAGGGAACGAAGGGTAAGGATAATGAGCCTATCAATGCGCGCGTTTCTAATTGGTTCCATGTCTGCAACCTCTTCCTGGGTGAAGAGGATGGTATTTGGTGTTTTGTTAGTTCTGATGTCGGGTAAGAACTCGCATGGCCATGCGCACTTTGACTGTGGTCATCTCTGAACTTTTGTGGAAAAAAGTGATTTTTGGCTGAATGTGGAACCAGTTCTCTTAACATGTGCACAATTTGTTGTGGAAATAATTGCTACGGTGTTTGGTTGCTGCTGAGTAAAGCGAGATGTAGTATTTTTTAAAATTATGGGTTTGCGTTGCTGTTTCATCACATTGTGGTTTAACAGGGTCGAGCGAAATGATTGCAGCTTGCTCGAGTTTTATGGATTTGTGGTTGAAGGTCTCATCCGTACTTGAACCACCCTCAACCCACAATTGAATCTTCATGAACCTCGGCAGTGAATCACTCCTTTGTTATATAAATCTGTAGATACAACAAATAATTTAGAAGCATAATGAATATTATCATTCAAAGAGGAAAATTATTGTGATATCTTTTAAATTGTAAAACATTTGCTTGTTTTGCAAAAAAAATTAAATTGCAAGCATGATTCAATAAAAAAAAAAAATTCTATTTAATTTTATGTTAAATGTTAGTTATGCAAATCCCTATGCCCGATGACTTGGAGCTAGCTATACAATCTACAATCTACAATCTGGCATGAAGAGGTGCCTGCCATGCAATCCAACCAATATTGTTGAAGTAGTCGTGCTAGCACCTTAGAAAAGTGGAGCCACCACCATCTTAAGATAAGCCCACACAACAGATGAATGTTAGTG